GTTGAAAAAGTCTACTCAAGGAGACAAGTGTTCCAAAATATTAATAACAAACAGATCAATAGCCTACTCCATCAAACAACCTAAGATTTAACTTCTTTGACTGGCAGTTTAGAAGTTGGAAATATTTTGAAATAAAGAAGTTGTTATCCATAAAGTTTGTTTATATTGACCCCAAGGTTTAGTCTACATACACTACTCTGTATGGAGAATAGAATATTCACTATTAACAGGGGCGGTGGGGTAGCCTAGTGGTTAAAGCGTTGGCTTGTCACGCCGAGGACCCGTGTTCGAATCCCCACATGGGTACAATGTGTGAAGCCCATTTCTGGTGTCCCCCACCGTGATGTTGCTGGAATATTGCTAAAACCGGCGTAAAACCAAAACTCAGTCAATCAGTCAGTCACTATTAACAATGTTATTATTTTACCCTTTTCAATCAAAACCTTTAGTAAACCAAAATATATTAGCTATTAAGGTGTTCATCCATGGCCTTCTATTAAGCTCCTGCGTGACATTTTTTGCGCTCAAATACTGACTCATATGAATGATGGAAAAGGTGAGTGAAAACCATTGCTACAAGCCTTATTTAGACCCACTAAACATTCCAACTACGTGTGAATCGATAAGATCGACAGTTTATATACACAGAAGCCTTCTGTAGTTTATCTATAAAAAGGAAAAACTGTTACAAATAAAACTGTCCAAGTTTTTATTAATTTAGATGATCTATTAATTATTTGATTGTGGCCTAAAGAACATAGTTTATGGTGTTGGGTAACACCCGATCCTTCTAGTTAGGCTTATCTTACATGTTGTACATTGTCAGAAACATTCTGGTTGCTGCAAGATAGACCCCTACTACGCTTATCGGGCATGGACAGAGATATAGAATTTCTGCAGAGTTTTCAAATTGCCAATTATGCAACAAATGGAAAAACTCACTGTCAGTCAGTAAACTGCTGGGTGCTGTTGTACAAAATAACCTTAACCTTAGCTAAGAATATCATAAGTCTTTGTTAAGGTTTGTGAGTTATGATCACCTTAGCGCTAGGATCACTTTGTTCAATGGTCAGTTATCTGTGTAGGTTTGGAATAAGAGGTGCATATTGTGACTGCCTGACAAGAATGTGAAGTGATTTATTGCTCATTGTCCTTTTATTGACACATCCAATCATCATCAGGGTACACAAATATATCAATATTTAAAAACAATTTACTTAGTATGTTTATTCTTTAACACTGCACAATATGTAAATAATTGAGTCTGGACCAGACAATCCAGTGATCGACATCATAACCATCCTATGCAATTGGGATATGACATGTGTCAGCCAAGTCAGCGAACCTGACCACCCGATCCTGTTACTGACTGACTGAGTTTGGCTTTATGCCGCTTTTAGCAATATTCCAGCAACATCACGGCGGGGGACACCAGAAATGGGCTTCACACGGTGTACCCATGTGGGGATTCGAACCTGGGTCTTCGGCGTGACGAGCCAACGCTTTAACCACTAGGCTTTTTTTTTTCTTTTCTTTTTTTAACACCACCAAAAACCCCACCCACCCACCCCTTTTCCCCTCTCCTGCCCCTCCTCCTCCCGCCCCTCCATCCCTCCTGTTACTCCTCTTCTGACAAGATTTGGTTCCTAAAAACCATTTCCAACCCAAATCTTCACGGGTTACAATATATGTAACTTGGTGTACAGACATCAACACTAGAGAAATTCATGATTCAGTTGAACTAATTTCCATAAAGTCATTGTATGTACTGTTTATGGTGGCAATGAGGAACTAGTTAAAAAAACTTCATGACAGACATTTTTTTATTTCCCTGGTGTCTGTTTGTAGTTTTTTTATTGAAGTCACTGAATAAAATGTTATGTTAATGTTTTATACTTTCTGAAATTATTTGCACATCAACAATATTTTTGTGTCCTGTTTTTGACATCTGTGTTTCTCCAAGCCCTTTTCTCAGCCTTTTTGACAGTATGTATGGCCATTGCCCTCATTGCAAGTTGAATAATTATTTTTTGCAAAACAGGATCCAAACAGAAGGATGAGAAATCTTGTTGTAGGGTTCTATGTGGCATGTTTACTGCCTAATGTTGTTTTTGTTTTACTCATCACAGTGTTGTGACCTGGCATATACCTTGTGTGGAGTTTGTCAGCCATGACAGATAAGGCTGTCTCCTACAAATCCTGACCCAATTCGTTTGTGTTTACCCCTGTCAGTGTGTGCCTGCTACATTCTCCCAGAGAAAGGGTGGAAATTAATCCCCATGATTTATGGCGAATGAGGGGCACGCGTGGCCTAGTGGTCTGTGGCACGAAAACCTGCTGTGAAGAGTTGTCTACCCTAGGTGTCAGGATCTGCGGATGTAGTTGCAGCCCCAATTTTTGCCATATATTTCAGCATCAACCCCTACTTAGGATCCACAACTGAGTTGTTGTTTTGTTTAACTCCTCAATCAGTGAGGGGGTAGGGTAGCCTAGTGGGTAGGGGTAGCCTAGTGGTAAGGTGTTCAATCGGCATGATGATTTATCTTCAAATGAAAGTGTTCCAAGGGAGAAATGTGATACAGCTGAAGTACTCCTGAAAGTCTAACCCACTTGCTCTTTTCCCTCCCCTCTGCCTGCTGCCCCACCCTCCCTGCCTGCCGTCCCACCCTCTTTCCTCCCTGAAATGGGTGGTGGGTAGCTGAGTGGTTAAAATATTTGCTCCTGGGTTCAATTCCCCACATGGGTACAATGTGTGAAGCCAATTTCTGGTGTACCCAGCCGTGATATTGCTGGAATATTGCTAATCACTTCCTCCTCACAATCAGCAATAATGCCTATGTCTGGTATCTCCTGGTATGATCTTGCACTCACTCACTCACTCACTGTTAGTCTGGCTTTTAGGAAAATAATAAAAATCAGATCAAACATTTATACTCACCACTATCCTACTAAAGGTGATAAACTGTGTATAACAAAATATATCCTAGTTGTGTATTTTGACGGATGTAAACCCAGTCTATTACTGACATTTACTGTCTCAACAAGTACCCTCAACCCTTTCCTACTTAAATCATTTCAAATATATGTGTGTGTCACTGTTTGAACATGTAAAAATATCTTTGCTTTTGATGTCCAGATTTCTATCTGTCTGAATGTTGCGAGTTGGTACGTGGACCCCCCTGTTCTGGGCTGGTTCACAGGCAATATAACTTATCGCTTATCGTCTATTTCAGCTAGATTAGGTGTTTATTTTGCCAAAGGTGTTTTGATTTCAAAGCCATGATTGTCAAGTGGATGTGGTATTTCGGGCCAAGTCTTTGTTTCCTCAGGTGATAAATGTCCTCATAACTCAAGCCTCTCTGTAAGATAACATTGAAAATAGACGGGTAGGTTTATTTTGGTGAAGCATTTTATGTAGTCAACACTTTCATATGGTGAAATTTTCATTTCAATATTGTTAAAAAAGTTGATTCAATATTGCCATAGTGTACAGATGGTTCTCAAGGACATTGTGATGATTTATCTTCAGATGAAAGTGCTCCAAGGGAGAAATGTATTACGCAGTCACAACATGATTCAGCTGAAGTTCTGCTAAAAGTCTTACCCACCTGATCTTTCCCCTCCCTCCCCTGCGTGCCACCCCACCCTCCTCCCTACCTTAAATGAGGTGGTGAGGTAGCTGAGTGGTTAAAGAATGAATTTGCTTCCGGGTTTGATTCCCCACATGGGTACAATTTATTGAGCCCATTTCTGGTGTCCCCACCGTGTTGTTGCTGTAATATTGCTAAAAGAGACAACAAAGCAAACTCAATCACTCACTCACTCCTCCTTCATACCTTCTTCCCTCCCTCTTTCACTCATCATTTTCACTTCAAAATTCACTCCATTACTGTCTCATCACGTCGAAGACCCAGGTTCTATTCTCCACATGGGTACAATGTGTAAAGCCCATTTCTGGTGTCCCCTCCGTGATATTGCTGGAATATTGCTAAAAGGGGCGTAAAAATAAACTCACTCACTCAGTCCATTACTGTCACACACCTTTGCTCATCCATCGCTTTTCTGTCGTTCACCTTGCCTCTTTCTCTCCTTCATCCCCTAGTCCCTTTTCATTCGGTCATTCAGGACATAAGCTATGGTGTGATAATTCATAAAACGTGATGTTATAAATATTAACAACCTGTATTCTTTTATGCTAAGATTAATCCACACAAATTCAGGACCAATATGGAATGTATGGTCATTTTTGAAACCCCATGTCCCTAACTAGGACTAAAAATTAAAACGATCACAGTTGTTTTGAGGAGTACCGGGTATTTCATTGACAAATGTCCTCATTCCACAGGATCCTGGCTGTAAGGTGTTGACACTATACTGACATATATTGGTCAAGGAATGTGGTCCTTCCCTAACACTCGAGGCTCATTACAACGCAATAAGCCCAAGCTTGAGACTGAGATTAACGTGACACACCTTAATCCATTGTATCGGTTCATCCATCTCATCCCTAGACCCACACAAGATAACACTGAAAGCATCCCTCAGGAGGGACTGGCTCAAAACTTACATGTGCTGTTTTATTAAATACTTATTCCACTGTGATGACTCAACAACAAGAGACATGTACACATTGTGTGATAATGTGTTTCTGATCTGAGACATTTCATTGTAATTATTATGATTGTTATTGAATTAGATCATGTGAGTTTTTAAATGGTATTCAGAGTTTGGAGATGATCCCCTGAGATATGTGTCTTTCATAGATTTGGGGAGAAACCCTGAGGAATGTGGACAGCTTATGTTGATGACATATTGTTATTTGCTTTGACAGTCGAGTTAATTCATGTCTCCAGCATGAAGTGGTTGTTACATGGATGTGAAGGTTGCTGATTTAATTGTTCAGTGTGACACGGTCAGTGGCTGTGAATGGCCACGTATTTGGTCACAGTTACATTATTCTGCTGTCAGTTACACCATATTTTGACCCCTGGGGCTCCAAGCTAGAACTCCGGCCCATGCTGGTCATAACAGTCACCATATGGATCATAACAGACACCATATGGATCATAACAGACACCATATGGATCATAACAGACACCACATGGATCATCACAGTCACCACATGGATCATCACAGACACCACATGGATCATAACAGACACCACATGGATCATCACAGTCACCATATGGATCATCACAGACCACACATGGATCATAACAGACACCACATGGATCATCACAGACACCATATGGATCATCAGTCACCATATGGATCATAACAGTCACCACATGGATCATCATCACATCACCACATGGATCATCACAGACACCACATGGATCATCACAGACACCATATGGATCATCACAGTCACCATATGGATCATCACAGACACCACATGGATCATAACAGACACCATATGGATCATCACAGTCACCATATGGATCATCACAGACACCATATGGATCATAACAGACACCATATGGATCATAACAGACACCATATGGATCATCACAGTCACCACATGGATCATCACAGTCACCATATGGATCATAACACACCATATGGATCATAACAGTCACCATATGGATCATAACAGACACCATATGGATCATAACAGACACCATATGGATCATCACAGTCACCATATGGATCATCACAGTCACCATATGGATCATAACAGTCACCATATGGATCATAACACACCATATTGATCATCAAAGATACCATATGGATCATAACAGACACCATATGGATCATAACAGACACCATATGGATCATAGCAGTCACCATATTGATCATCACAGACACCATATGGATCATAACCATCATATAGATCATAACAGTCACCATATGATCATCACAGACACCATATGGATCAGGTTGTCAGACTCTGTCGCTTGGTTAATGTAAAACGATGAGGACTGTTGTTCATGATGTCAGTCACTGGATTGTCTGCTCCAGACTTGGTTATTTACAGGAAACCGTGAAATCAAGTAGCTTGAACACTGATGAATGTAGCATTAAAGAAACACAATATGTGAATGCATGACACTTTTATGGATAACAGACTGGTGTAGTGGTTAGAGCGTCTGCCCAGAGAAGGTCGCGGGTTGGATCCACAACCGTGTCATACCAAAAGACGTTGTTAACATATGGTACTTGTTGGTCCCTGCCTGGCACTCAACATTAATGGGTACAAGGACTGGTCGGCTCGGAGTCAGTATAATGTGTCTGAGTAGGGTATTCATGCTTCACTGCGGCATGGTATCTCACTGGGCTAGCACTATAAAACCAGCTTAAGTCTGGGCTAGTACAAGCAGCCACACATACACATACACACGCATGCACATCGTCGTATGAACGAAATATTCTCAAGCACGACATTAAACCCAATTTCACCTCACCTCACCTGACCTATGATTAACAACTTCATTTATTCTCTGTCACGTTACTTCTTGCTCCTTCATCAGGTGCATGCTTAGGAGGTTCATAGAGTGCATGGATCCCTGGTTACCAAAACACGGTACTTGTTGTTACCCAGCCTGGCAATCAGCATGAACGGGACAAACAAGGACTGGTTACTAGTGGTCACATACATTCTGCATGCATGTCACTTATATGTGCAATAATCTTGAACATCATGGTCAACATTTCACCTCTTCTGTTTAGACCAGCATCACAAGGTGCTATCATCCAACATTAAACTGACACTCTGGCATATAAGTGAAGTACTTTCCACATCAAGGTGAAGCCCAACTCATGATATAAAATGACTGCACAGACTTCACTCACTCACTCAATATCCAGTCTAGGATAACTCAAGGCATAACACAGGTGCCTCAGTCATCTGAGGCCCCACAATTGTGTGTGTCTCTCTCTCTCTCTCTCTCTCTCTCTCTCTCTCTCTCTCTCCTTATTCTCCATCTCTCTCTCTCCTCTCTCTCTCTCTCTCTCTCTCTCTCTCTCTCTCTCTCTCTCTCTCTCTCTCTCTCTCTCTCTCTCTCTCTCTCTCTCTCTCTCTCTCTCTCTCTCTCTCTCATCACAATAAACCTTATTTCCATGACACAATTTATTGCCAGATTTCATTTCAGTGCACGGTGGGTATCCTCTCTCTCTCTCTCGCTTCAATACCTCCATGAAACTGACCCCTGGTGTGAGGCAATACCTCTGATGGCTGATTCTATAAGACTGGGCAGTGAAAGCAGACACCTGATAGATAGCACAAGATTCTTCACATCTAAATGTATATTATGCAATGTGTGAGACCCTGCTATACTTATATTCAACACCATGACATGGTGTCATATTTTGTGTAGATAAGGAATGTGGGAGAGTCTTTGGGTCAGACTAGGGTAATTAAATTAATATATTCTACTGCGGAGAAGGGAATATGAGCCGGTAGGGGATATACATGAATTATGTACATGGGGTATACGTTATCAACATGTGTGACCTTCGACCTGTCTTGCGTAGCATTGCCTGGTACTGGCGAATCCATCACAGTGAATTATTTCATTCATGGTGAGCAGACGTCACGCATTCTGCACCATATGTGGACAGAATACGGTTAATTCATCTTTGGAATGTTGCGTATGATACATCTGTAACTGTCACCAGTTTCATACAATCGAAAATAAGATTTATAGTGAAACCTATACCCCTGTGTGGTGAAACCAACAGATTGACAACTTACCTGATTAATGGCTTAAGGGTAATGGCTCCTTGTATGTTAACAATCCTGAAAGCGCTGTCCACATTAACAGGGTTCTATCTATACAGGCCCATCATTAACAATCCTGAAAGTGTTGTCCACATTAACAGGGTTCTATCTAGACAGGCCCATCATTAACAATCCTGAAAGCGTTGTCCACATTAACAGGGTTCTATCTAGACAGGCCCATCATTAACAATCTTGAAAGCGTTGTCCACATTAACAGGGTTCTATCTAGACAGGCCCATCATTAACAATCCTGAAAGCGCTTGTCCATCATTAACAGGGTTCTATCTATCTAGACAGGCCCATCATTAACAATCTCTTGAAAGCAGTTGTCCATTAACAGAGGTTCTATCTATCTAGACAGGCCCATCATTAACAATCTTGAAAACAGCGTTGTCCACATTAACAGGGTTCTATCTAGACAGGCCCATCATTAACAATCTTGAAAGCGTTGTCCATATTAACAGGGTTCTATCTAGACAGGCCCATCATTAACAATCTTGAAAGCGTTGTCCACATTAACAGGGTTCTATCTAGACAGGCCCATCATTAACAATCCTGAAAGCGTTGTCCACATTAACAGGGTTCTATCTAGACAGGCCCATCATTAACAATCCTGAAAGCGTTGTCCACATTAACAGGGTTCTATCTAGACAGGCCCATCATTAACAATCTTGAAAGCGTTGTCCATATTAACATGGTTTCATGTCAACTGGCTCAACTTTAATAGTTCAGAAAGTGTTGTCCCTATTAGCAGGCCCCAGACTTAAAGGGTTTTACTGTACCGACAACACGAACTTCCTACCACAAGTTGATTAATACCCTGTTTGAGACAATATGACCATGATCCTTGCTGTAGATTTCTTCATCGGTATCTCACCCACCTAGACTCAAGATTGTTCGAGCCAGTTTGTTAATAATGAAGATGTGGCGTGCTTCAAAATACATGCTTTGTGTGGATGTATTGATGTGAGTGTTCCTTGCAGTGCCATTGATACTGAGAGATGACAACCAACTGTACCTCTTCAACTCGGCTAATTTGTCAGTGATTGTGGCGTGAATTAGTGAGCGTGAATATATGCGAAATTTGATCAGTAATTAATGCTGATGAAGATAAACTTATCACTTCGACACAATCGGCTCATCTCTGGATTCTGCCACATTGTATGATACGAACCAGTGTGCAGTAACTGAATTAGCCAGCTGGAATCAAGACAGATGTAAAAAGTCAGTCCCCAAAAAGACCATTCTTGATTATTTCCAGATTTAAAGGGCTAGTCTGTCTCCCAGACCAAAAGAATAAATTAAAAAGAATCGTCAACTGATTGACATGTCTAGATTGCTTCAGCTCCAGAGGCAAACTATAGGTGACATTCATATGAGTCGATCACTGTTAAAACCTACCACTCCCCAGTTAGTATAAAATAGTATACATTTGTTTGTTGATGTAAGTGTTGATGAAGTTTGTCTTTAATGTTTAATGATGTTTTAGTGGATTTGATTTGTCCTGTCTTCATCTTCTGATCACACATTGACACCAACAAATCTCCGTTTTAACTCTAATATCTAGCATTGCATACCAGGAACGGTGGTTTAATAGGCAGTGTTCAGTTCATCATGGTGAGCCTGGCTATAAAATGGTCTTCAGGAACCAATGCTTATTGTAACAGTCAACTATTAATGACATCTAGTGGCCAGACTTGCATGGTCGGTGCATCTACTTACATCCCAAGTTGTGTATGTCAATCACTGGATTGTGTGGTCGTGGCTCGATTACTTACAGACCACCGTCACATAGCTTGAACATTTCTGAGCCTGTTGTGTTTGAACCCCTGTTGAAGTGACATCAATGGTAGCATCAATGGCCCCAGTAATATCAAATCACTATTTTCACTTTTACATGTGTCATATTTTCATATTTCAGTCCACAACGCAATAGTTAGTTCATTCTCATGATTCTTAAAAAAACTTGTTCATTTTTTCAGCCCAACCCAGCCCCATCCTCAGACCTTTCTATTCTTTTTGTGGTGATTATGGGGTAATAAACAAGTGCCTCACAACACGTTACGCAGTAAGGGGAGTGGTGACTCCCCTGACCTAATAACCACGTCACAGCGCTGTGTGTCACATGATGTCACAACATGTCACGCTGCTTACACTTTGTGTCCTTGGCATATCCTATAAGCAAGTTCTCAAGAGGAATGTCTTAGTGTTATTCCTACTTCATTTCAGAATAACTAAATCACCAGTTGTACGGGATTAACTCTGCTGTTTAAGTGCCCTTCAGAGTTCATTAAACTGAATCCTTGTTGTTTCGCATTGAGTTGAAGATATATTTCCCATCATGCCCGATTACACATGGCTTCTTCAGGGGATTATGGGAGGAATTTATGATAGAGTATGGTTTGCTTGATCAAGTCCTTGGATTTGTTTTCTTTCTGTAAAATATATTTTGCACATTTGTACTATTTTATTTAGTTCAGCCACTGGAAAATTTATTTGAATTTGGTAAACATGGTTGTTATGTTTATTTCATGAGACCTGCATTAGTTTTTTTATTACTGTGTGCAATGACTTTCTACATCACACATTTAATGGAAAATTACACTCATGTAACATGCCATATGTAACATTTATCATCACTTCAAGTAAATACTATGTCTTTGAGGCATTTCTTTCAGAGTTGTTCACAGACTTGAAAATTCACACTTGTAGAATGAATTAAGACAGTGGTTTTCTTTATCTCAAATCATTTGAAAAATTATTCATAGCCGGGCAGTATAAGTATTGCAAGGAAACAATTATGTCATCCAAAACACCCTTTAAGTATTATTATGAAATTAT